TCCCATATATCAATTGTCACTGATAAACCCCCTCCCTGCCTTCCACTGGCCTCAGGATGAGCAAACTTTAGCCGGTGAATAGCTACACTTGTCACCTTTTCATGTTCCGCCCCTGAGGCCACCTATCTGGCCAGTCCAACTACAATGAAACCAGACTCCTCAAACTGTCCAGATTTCCGCTTACTTCAGATCTTCGTACACTCAATATCCACTGTTCTCCTGGCTTCACCAGCCACTCCTCCTCCACCTGGCCACCCACCAGCCTCAGGGGAGCAGTGATGCCTCCCTGGGAGCCCTCCTTAAGCACCTGAGTCTGCTTTCCATGGCCAAGGGCATCAGAAACTCAGTCCGCTGGTGAGGGAGGTGAGAAAGAGATGGACCCTGTGTACCTTCCTGCCTGTGGAAATGGCTGGACCACTGGAGCACAGGTGAGTACACGGAGCTGGACATTCTGAGATCCGAGCCATGTCTGCGTGCTATGGCAAGCGTAGGGCAGGAGGCTGTGCACAGAGGCTGCCTCTCCTCTCTCTGGGGTGTTGGGGACAAGCGTGTGGGAAGGCTCACAGTAATCTCTCCATACCGATGTGCCCAGGCTGTGAAGTGACCCATCACAGGTGGAGATGCTTGCTGAGGGCACGCCTGGCTATGCCTCCTTAACTACTTAACCAACCTCCCTGTGCCATTTTCAACCATAAAGTGGAACGCTGAGGGGCTCCCCGGGCATGGTGGGGATGCTGTGAATTATCAGTTCATGCAGAGCACTGCTCACAAAAGTGCCTGACTCACGGCACTTCGTAAGTGTGACCTGTTCTTAGTGCCCATTCTATTAACAACCACACATGCTATGGGGAGAATCCATCAGAAAAAAAGGAAAACCTGAATCCATTAAGAGCTACTCCATGTTTTTTCTTCCCTAGAGTATAGGAGATTCAAGTGGCTGACGTGCGAGGAGGACTGGACAATATTCCTAACTAGTTTGAAAGATTACTTAAGTCAGAAAGCAACTTCACACTTGGGGGAAGACAGCCTCTCTGAGGAAGGCACCATGCAGCAGACACCAGCCACTCGGGGAGCGATCTCAAGCACCAGGAGACGTGGGCGGGGAGGGCTAGAGACATGGACTCAACCAGTAGGAACCTGGACATGAACCTGTGACACTCTAACAGGAAAAGGACACAGGATCTGCTTTTGGAGGGCACTACAGGGTCAGCATCTATTCAGCAGGGCTGGCCTGGGCACAGATATTGGATGTGTCCATGTGCCTGTGTCCAACCCCAGGGAAGAGGGCAAGCAGACGATGTCTGTAGAAGGAGGTGTCAGCTCAGGAGGGTTCAGGGGCTGTGCTAGTGACAGGGGGCAATGGCCTGGTCACAGTGCCAAGGCTAGGGAGGCCAACCCTAGCACAGAGCCCTTGTGCCCTCCACAGACATCAGTCCTGCAGTTGGCCGGAGTGGCAGAGCCCTTGGACACCTTCATGGACAGTGCTCAGTCAGAGCACAGAAAGGCCGGGTCTACACTGGTGCCAGGGGCCCAGGGAAGAATGCCTGCATGGCACCCCACCCTGCAGCCCTTCCTCTCAAACCCCACTCTGCCTCAGGGAGGTAGGGCAGCTAGCTGGAGGTTCGGATGTCCAGGTGGGTTATGGGGAAGTGCAAAGGATCTGACGTCTCAATGGAAACATAAATGAAACTCCATGAGCGGGAGGCCCGGATAATGAGGCTCTGGGAAACCAAGGAGGAAAAGGGAACCCCCGGGCCACATGATTCACGCAGATGAGCTGTAACCTTTCAGGAACAGTCACATGTCAACCAGTCCATCAAAATAACAACAATGAGGTAAACCAGGATGTCAGATTGAATAGGTTACAGTCTGCACAAAGGCCTCCAGCTGGCAGAGTCAAGTGCATTAGGGCAGGGTATCTTTGGGGGAGGCTACCTTTCCATAGTTCACATCTGTGAAAGGTACGGTGACCTGTGAAAAACCACACAGCTGATAAGTGGGACATGAAACAGTGACACAGATCAAGACAGCATCAAGGGACACACACAAGGTCAGCATCGTCCCCAGGACACACCTGCAGTCAAGTTCCACTTGAAACCTGTCAGGTATGTGGGAACACGTGTGAAAACAGAAGCTTACGTATCTCTGACCACAGGTCATCTTTCAGTTTGTGCAGAAGAAAACCAGACCAATAATAAATCAGGCCTAATGTTTGCATCTTTGAGTATGTTAAATACATAAGTCATTTATAAATGCTAATGAGTACACATTTTCCATATTACCTAGCAGACCTAAGGAAACTGTGGGGCTTAGAAATGTGTGCCTCGATGATTAATGAAACTTCTATTTAAATAGTCAAGGTCCCCATTAAACTGAAAGGTGGCTTCTCACAACAGTGTAGTGGCCTTGATGGAATCTTTAAACCATAATGGCAAAACCCAGCCAAGTTCAGGACACACTAAATAACACAACTCTGAGGAAGTCCATGCCATCAGCAAACAGCCAAATGTTCTGTGGACCAAATTCTGCAGGTGGAGCAACCTGAAAGAGGTCACAGCCACAGGCCACAGCCATGGCCACGGCCACAGGCACCTCTGAAGTGCCACAGAGACCTTCAAGCCCTAGGGCCAGAGAACAGAGCCTTTAGCTGGGAAGAGGCCTTGCACTCCCAAGGTCGCTGTCACAGACTGGAAGATTAGAGCCAGCAGAGGATAGCTTGTCACAGTTTTAAAGAGACAGGCTCACAACAAAATAAGTATGCCCGCATCCAATTCTTCTATAATACTTAACACACTGGGTAAAGATATAAAATTTTTGCTATAACTGTTCTGAATTTTTTTAAAGTCCAAGATAAAGTAAAATCACTTAAAGTATCAGTTTTTTACTTTCTAAAATCTTGAGTTTTAGACAAAAGTTATTTTTAAATATCACTAAAGAGGAGCTTAACTAAAGACAATGTCCTAGTTACAAACATAAGATAGAAAGCAAGCTGCAGAGTAAGGCACAATGAGGTAGAAAGAGTTCTATGCATTTCATACAGCAAAATGCCAAGTCAATTTCTGTAGAAATGAGCACATGTGCCCAGGAAAACCATCTGCAGGAACGTGGGTTAAATGCTAATGGGGCTGTTGCCCAAGAGTGGGACTTCATGTAGGATGGATATCACTCTCATCAGGAAGAGAGAGAGAGAGAGTGTACTATATATATATATAGAGAGAGAGAGATGATGTCATGGTGGCTGGAGCAGAAAGAGATGTGCTCCCCAGCGTGTGTCAGCATTACCCAGGGTCCTCTGTGAGGTACAACAAGGAAAACCATGATGGGTAAACAAATTCAAAATCCACGCTCTCAGAAAGCTTATGACTCGGGGTGGAAGTCAAAGGTATACATGTTCCAACCTGTGAGCACAGGGAGAACTCAAAAGTAGGTAACTCTAACACCAAGAGAGAAGAGAACGCCGTATGGCTGGGTGGAACGAGGAAGACAGAGGCAGAGATGGCCGCCCACCGGGCTTTGCAGGACACAAGATTCAGGAGGGTGTGTGAGGAAAGTGAAGACTACCTCACATGAGCACCTACTATGTGCCAGCGACCGACAGGCATCTCCTGCACTAACTCACAGATCCTGGAGAGGAACTCTGTCATTAGGTCTGTGTAACAGCAGGCAGCCGGAAGCTGCCTGTTCATTCAGTTAAAAAGCAGCAGGGGTAGGACTTGAACCCAAGCTCCCCGTAACTCTGTCAAGCTTCCCTTCTAAGCAAAGAGAAAACCCCGAGACCAGGTCCTAAGAAAAGTGATGTACCAAATCACAGAAGGAGGAAACATGCATTTATTGGAGGACTTCCAGGCAGTGCCCCATACAAAGCTTTTTATACAGAATTCCATTTAATTTTCCTGTACACTGATAGCTATCACATACATTTTAACGAGAAAACTAAGGTTTGGATAGGTCCAAAATCAGGCTAGCCAGCTAATGAGTAGCAAGACAGAACCGTAAGTCCAGGACAGAGCCCTTGCCAGGTCAACCCAGACACAGGATGTTACACGTGCTATTTCACTTAATAGCCCAAAGAATCAAATCTGTCTTACAGATGAGAAAAGGAAAAATCAGACAAGACAAGTTATTTTCCCCAAGGTCACAGAACTGGTAAGAGACTTATCCACAATTTATCCCAGACACCCTGTTTTCAGAGCCAGAGCTCCTCCAGCCCCCTGGAGAAAGTACCAGAAAGAGAACAGGGATGAAGTCACGGCCATCTCAAACATCAACTCAGAATTCGTCCCCAGTGCAAACTCATTGAAGATGTGACTGCGGAGAACACAATGAGATATCATTTTAGAAATAAGACAGAGCCATCAAATTTTGTACTTGGCACATACAACTCTCTGACTTGCACATTTCCAATGAGGGATTTCTACTTTACCTAAGAACGCCATCCCTGCGACTATTCAGCAAGCATTCACCTTTACAGCCCTACTAAAACGTAGCGCCCAAGCCCCAGCTGTCATACTTGCTATGCATACTGTGAATTGGATTTATCCGTTATTTCTTTCTACAGATTTCTGAACCCAGTGGTACAGAAATTGTAAGTGAGTAACTGATCACTGAACCCTGTCTTCCCAAAGCAAAGCAGGAAGAGAAGAGAGGAGAAAAAAAAAAAAAACAGCAACGGAAATAGGCTTGCCTTTGACATTGAAATGTTACCCCAGCATCATCCCCAACTAATCCGCCATGACGCCTGGGGTTGTGCACCCACAAGACTGGCTCAACATTCCGGGGCCACAGCAGGGAATGAGGTGACTCACCCGGCATCAATTCCCATAGCCCTTTCTACTCCTTTCCCAGTGAAACCCGGGTGTCCCCGCAGGTTGTCTGTACCTGAGGCCCTCCTAGGAGTCACTACTCCCTTAAATCCAGAGGCCAGCCATGGTGTAAGGGGCTGGGGGGGGGGGGGACCTGCTTCCCCTCCTCCTCCTCCTCCGCCCAAGCTCCTGACTCACCAGGTGCAGGGCCAGGGGCAGCAGCAGCAGGAACAGCCACAGGTAGAGGTGGCAGCTGTTGGTGAACTTGCTGTGCTCGGGGTCGTGGTACCAGCCCCCGGTGAGCGCGGCCCACACGCCCTGCCGGAGCAGCTGCAGCACCTGGGACCCCATGCCGGCTCCGGGACTCAGCACCCGCACACTGCCGCCGCGCCCCCGCCGCCGCCGCCGCCCGCCCCGCGGCCACAGCCCGAGCTGCTCTTCCGTGCGGGCCCGCGGGGAGCGGCGCCAAAGCCGGCCGGCGCCGCCGCGCAGGTGGGCGCCATGGCCGAGGGAGGAAGGATTTTCCCAGCATGCCCCGCGGCGGCTCAGAGGATGCTCCCGAGGCTCCGCCCCGCGCCCGCCCCGTCCCTGCTCTGCCCTGCCTTGGGAGCTGGGAAGGATCTCTGAGAGTCTCTCTCTCTCTCTCTCTCCCTCTCTCTCTCCTCTCTCTGGAGGACTGACTCCAGACTAGAGGCTCTTTTAGTCTACCTGACCTGTTCACACTGACCTGTGCACACTGACCTGCTTCCCCCTTGACTTTTTCTCCTCCGCCCCTAGTTGCCCAACTTGGCACATAAAGAAAATAGCTGCCTTTCTGGCAGAATTTCCGGGACTCGGTTGGAGTCCTTGTGTCTTCATAGATTTTGTAGGACATCATCCAGGAAGCAGACAGCTATTTAAACCAACCAATAGTCTAAGTATTTCTCTGCTGTTTGGATAGAATCATTGAACATCTTTGATTCGTGATTTGCAGTAGAAACACTTTGGAGTCCCCTCTGATGGGAGGGCAGGTTTTGGAAAGGGAGGAGATAAAGGGGGTCTTGTCTTCCTTGGGAAGGAGCCAATGAAGCACTGTGGTTTTGGGGCCTTGAGACAGAACAAAGGATAGAAGGGTCCATAACCCCATAACTCCAGACATGCCTGTCCCATCGTGCTTATCTGTGTGTCCCAAATACATCACACTTCTCTGATATGTGCACCTGTATATTCTTGGTGGGTTCTGGTCTATAGCGGCAGTACTTCATGCTGCCTTGGTCAACCAGCCTTCCTATGTTGGAGGACATAAGGGTGAGTTCCTCCTGAGAAGAGGGCCTTGGGCAGGGAAGGCACTGGGTCACAGCAAAGGCTTCACTGTGGTCCTCTGCCATCAACCTGGCCCATCCTACTCTCCCTTCTTCAGTGGGAACAGCTAACCAAAATGTCCAGTTGCTTCTTTCTGTCCTGGAAGAGTAATTTTCTCAAAACACAGTGGGTGTTTTGTTTGTACAGTCCTTCACTGCTCAAAACCTACCAGGTGCCCTATAAATGTTTAATGAGCCAATCAATCCATCACCTCCACATAAGACCCGCACTACAGGCTCACCCTCCTGTGCCTGGGTACAGGAGGACTCCATGTAGCAGGTCTGTTCCTGCCCCAAGGAGTGTCCTCATCCATCTGTCTTGAGTCATCAAATATTTATTGAGTACCTTCTGTTTGCCAAGCATTTTGCTGAAGACTGAAAAAGTTAATACAGGTAAAATACAGTTCCTGTCACGAAGGAGTTCACACGCTCTAAGAAGAGACATGAAAGTCACCAAAGTCCTGCAGTAAAACGTGTAACATGTTAGAACAGGGATGGGCACATGGATCCAGACATATGGGTGTCTGGCACTGAACAGGGGACACGTGTCAGAAAGGAGGTACCCACAAGCCCAGAGGGTCTGAGGGCTGAATATTTGCTGTCCAGGTGCATAAATGTAAATAACTCACTGAGAAGATAGATGTGTGGTTGAGGGAAATTTCAGGACAGCCTAAGATGCCTAGAAGGTAGGACTGGGAAGAGAGGAAAATGGAACACCAGGAAACTCAGTGAGGTCAGCAGAGGTCACCTGGACAAGGGACAGTCAGTGGAAGACATTAATCCAGGATGTGATGTGGTCCAGCAGGGATGACCTGGTGTTGAGGACCAGATGTGAATTACAGCTTAGAGACCACCTCAATGTAGTGGTAAGCAAGAAGGTGTCTAATGGCTTTCAGTTGCTGCTCAGAGTGACTATTGTGTAGAATTCAAGTCATGAAATATAGGGGGTTAGCAGAAAGGCTACACTGAATTTGAGTTGCCTAGGGGCTTTGGGGGACAGTGGGGCATGTGTGCTCCTGCAGCTTAGGAGAGGTACTTGAAATCGAGACCTAGACCTGAGAGAGATCGGCGGGCCAGTGGATGGGAACGACCGCACCCTGGGAAAGCATGAAGAGTCTGGGGCAATAGGATGGATGATTACAAGGAAAAAGAGAAAGGGAAGTAAGAGACAAAGGATGTTTACCAAGTATGCAGGAAAACAAGATAGAAATGGCTAATAGTGTCATATGCCAAAGAAGCCAAGTATGAAGACTGACATGTGGTGAGGACCCAACTCTTTGGAGCAACCTACCATGGAATAGCCACTTTAGCTTCCAGGACAGAAGATGGTGACATGGCGGGCGCCTAATTGTGTGGTGTTAAAATGAATGGATGAGGGTGACGAAAGAGAGCCATCCCAAGTAAGCCGCTCCTTGGAGGAGCCTGGCGGTGGGTGGGTAGGATCTAACCGTGGGTGTGAGACCAGCGACCTGTTTGTTTTGATAACTGGCTTTTAACGTAGGCATGCTTCTTCTCCACTGTCCTGCTTTCCGGGTCTGAAGCAATTATCCCTGATGACTCTGAAATCTCTATACCCAACCCTGCCCTTTCCCACGATTTCAGATTTGTGGTTTGGTGCCCCCACCTCAAAGCCTTCAAGTCACTCCACATGTGCTCCTGGGCTTCCCCCTTTCTCCCTTCCTGCTCCTCCTCCCACTGTGCCCTTTCTAGCTTGAATCTCAGCTGATGGACCACAGCCCACAGAGTGGCTGGGAGCCGAGATGGATCCTAGACTTCCCCCAACCCTCTTCACCACCATGTCCAGCCAATGGCAGCTGTACCTACAAATGCCTGTTAACTGCAGAGGTCACCCTGTCCCCACCGCCGACTCAGAACATCTCCCCATGCCAGCGACTTGGCCCAGCACAACCCTCCAATATCAACCAAGGTGCAGTCAGACACAATGCAGCAACTCTAGCTTTCAAACAGACAGTTTTACTCAGGAAAGGGAAAAGCTGAGAAGGCAAACCAAGGACAAGAAGCAGCTCAGACATTTGCAAAAGCTCCTACCCCTGCCAGGACTTGGAGAACAATGGGAGTAGGTGGCATTGCCAGAATCCAGACGCCATGGGGCTGGCAGCAGGAGTGAGATCCAAGGCCCTGGGACAGCCAGAGGCCATGCACAGAAGGGGAACGTGCTAGCATTGGGGTGGGGAGTATGCAGGAGGGCCTAGCGCACAGAAACACCTGCTGCCCGCTTCCTCCAGCTTTCTAGTCTCACACCTGGCTCTGCTCTGCCATTGGCTAAGCCCACCTGGAAGCCATAGTCCAAGGGAGCCTCGGAATGTCTCTACACGTAATAGCGATGGGGAGGGGGAGCCAAAGGAATCTCTGTAAAATATAGGCCAGACCTGATGACCCCTCCGTAAAATTCTTTCCATCACATCCAGAAAAAAACAAAGAAAGGAAGAGCAGTCCAAATCCCTCCAAGGCCTGAGCCTCACCTGTTCCCTGTAGCTTCACCTCTGCAAACCCAGGCGTTGGCATTTCTCTGCTCACCCAGGTTCCTGTGAACCTTGGGGCCTCTCCTGATGTGGATGCCTCGCACGTCCACAGAGCTGCATGTCGCATGTACATCGGTGGCGTTGTGATTGACATTGTACTAGTCAATTTCGAGCCTTTCAATATTGAGCCTTTCCTTAGTGAACAAGATACAGATTTCATTTATTAAGGCCTCTTGGAAATATTCTATAATTTTCTATGCAGAATTTTTGCACATCATTTATTGCAGCCAACGAGTGAGGGGCAAGGATGTAAACTTGAGGCTTTATGGGGCTGAGGATACTTGTGATCGAATCCTGACATCCTGTGGGTGCAGGGCCAGTACTTTCTTGGCCAGCAGCACGCCCATGCTTTTCCTGAGAGGAACTGCTGCTAAGGACAAAGTGCCCTTTGGAAGTCCTTGCTCATGTGGGCAGGACACCTGCGGGAGAAGGGCAGGGACTCAGCTGGGTTGGAGTCACTGTTGCTTATATGAGCACTGGGGTTTGCAGAGTGGTTGGGTATTCTGTCGGGCTTGGCTTGGCCCGGCCTCTCCTCTTCTTCCCTGTTAACCACAGCTCAGGAGGCCCACGGGTGTCTTCATGACTGTGCTACCAGAGGACGGAGACAGGGCACTGCCAGGGAGCAGACCTCAGTGAACAGATGCGGGGTCTAGAACCCTGGACAAAGAATGGCTGGTGAGCACACCCTCCTGCCCGTGTGGGTGTGGCCTGTCCACTGGGGCCAGGGAAGAGGTCATTTTTCTGCTCAAGTATGAACCCTCACCTGCAGTGGACTTGAATTTTCAGGCGCATTTCACCCAGTGAGCCAATGCCTGGGTGAAATCTCCTTGGGATCCCAGAGGCTCTGAGTGTGACCAAGTGAACAAAATAGAAAAACAAAATAGAAAAAAATAGAGAAACAAAATAGAACTTTTCTCAGAGGCGATGCTCACTACGAATCCTCACAAATGTAAACGTGCTCATTTGTGAATACAAGCAAAACATGGAAAATTTGGCAAAATAATTAAAGATCCAAAAGCTATGCATTGTAAGAAACAGTCCTCGTTACAATGGAACACACGAAGAAAAAAGAAACGCATAAAAACTATAATTAGTATACTTCATGTGATTGTAGGGACTGTTGCACTGATTAAAAATAAAATAGCAGGCAATTACTAGTCTTTCAGTGGTGCTGGGGTTTGAACTCAGGGCCTTGCACTTGCTAGGCAGGGGCTCCACCTCCCAGCCCTTTAGGCTTTAGTTACTGTTTGAGTAGGGTCTTGCGTTCATGCCCCTGCCCATCGGATCGCGATGCTTCTGTTTACATTCCCAAGCACTAGAAGGCAGGTGGACACTCCCACATCCACCTTTTACTGGTTGAGATGGGATCTTGTGAACTTTCTGCCCAGAGTTGGCCTTGAACTACCCTCCTCCCAATCTCTGCCTCCTGAGAAGTTAGGATTACAGGTGTGAGCCACGGCACCCAGCC